ACACCTCGGAATGGACTTATTCCTTTTTGATTTATGCTGCCATCGACTTAAGAAAATCTCTGCACCATGTTCAGGGCATTAAAACTATTATCAGTTCCATAAGGCTAGGAACTTCACGGTCTACAACACCTGGGTGGAGGGATTTTGACATTCAGTTTAGGCTTAGGCGCTCAAAAAACAGTATGATGAGTTGGGAAAATATGGTTGATTTGCATGGGTCAGGCAGCATTCGCTGCATTTCGCAAGCCTACTTCTTTTTTATATTTTGCACCAGCACAAGCTTTGTTATGATTTCACTCTTGTCTTAAGTGCGACCAAAACCACCATCAATCCCAATGTGACCCAATCAAGATTTTCAAGACCATTTCGGCAATAAAGATTCATGCCTTTGGGGTCTAGGTTTTACACCAATCAATGTTACCACTTTAAACATTTGGTTACAAAATTATCCAGATAAAACTGTGACAAATCAACTTTTGCATGGGTTTTACACGGGTTTTTGTTTTCTCGTTGAATTAATTATGAGAGTCTGTGGGATCCAGTATCTTGTAAAAGTATAATTTCAGCATTACAGCATAAGGCTAAACTGACCTGGGTCGCATAATGAGTCCATTTGATAACATCAAAAGCTGTGTTATTCTTCAAAATACAACGGTCGCCCGCTTGGCGCATTGGTTTGAACGTCTGCTCTAGAGTCGTGAAGTATAAGGGGTTAATCCTTACGTTGCGGGTTCGAATCCCACGGTACACAGCTAATTGTGCCACATACGTGTTACATATGGTTGCACATAACACATGTATCACGTATGTGAAATGTACGTATCACATACGTGTATTACAAACATACGTTTCACGTATGTGGTACAACGTACGTATAACATATGTGTGACTACATACGTTTCACATAACGTACGTTAAACGTATGTTTGGAATACACGTATGTGTTACGTACGTGTAACATATGTTATGTGCAACAATACGTTACATGTACGTTGATAAACGTATGGTTTACATGTGTATTGTCAACCACATGTTACATGTACGTTAATTAACATATGGTTTACATGTGTACAGTCAACCACATGTTACACGTATGTTAATGAACACATGGTTTACATGTGTATAGTCAACCACATGTTACACGTACGTTAATGAACTCATGGTTTACATGTGTTTTATAAAGCACAAATGTCATGTATATATATAGTTTCATCTTCCCAAGTCAAGAGTTTCTGATCCGCTCCGCTCCACATAAACCCTTGACCGAATAATCTAAGTTTCACGGGGTTTACTGTCACGCCATCTAGTGAGATTACATATTTTGAACTCTCCTGACCTCTGCTATTAGCCAATCAGAGTAAACGAATTCAACAGCGAATTCGAGATAATATTGGTAGTCGGTAATAAATTCAATATAACTCAACTACAAAACTGAGACAAACCTTTAAAAGGGCTATCTAATGAAAAATACACTATCCTTGGGACTAAAACTGACGTGTTTTTATGTTTACGATGTAGTTTCAGTTTAAATAAAACAATGATTTTGATTGGTTTATAAAAACTTGCATGAGGCCATTCAGAGAACATATTTCTAGCCCCGTGAAACTTAGCCTATTCGGTCAAGGGTTTATGTGGAGCGGAGCGGATCAGAAACTCTTGACTTGGGAAGATGATATAGTTTATGTGCATTATAAACCACACATTAAATATACTAATGTACAAAAATAAATTATGGTTAACTTGTTTTCTAAAGCTCTCATTACATATATGTTGATGAATATAGTATGTGTATTATCAGGCACATGTTACATATGCATTTAAAAAGGTGTTTTACATGTGTGTGAAAACCTACATTGTATGTTTGAGAATGAGAAGGCTGTATATTTTGTAAATTCATACTATTACATACATGTATGATAAATGTAGGTTGACTATAAATTTAATCCTTTTTATTTTATTTCAAATTTAATTTATTAATCAAATTATCATTTAGTTTTTGCTATAAAGAGAAAAAAAACAATGCGTTAAATATTTATTGTTGCTAGGGACTACATAATTTCGCTTAAAATACAGGAACTTTTTGTATAAAAGTATGGCTGACTTCCACAACTAACTATTTTACCTTAATTGTTTAACTGATTTTGGAGAACTAATCAAGATATTATTTAACATAACAATCAATAGGCACTTAGCAATGCTTAGGGCTTAACCTGTTATTCAGGAAGAAGAGCAATCATAGTGATGTGACCATCTATAAAATCCTTCTTATAATATGTATAACGTGTCCTTAGATCAGAAGTTGCATGTATTTTATCAAATTAATAATTATATATTTTAAAATCTAAAATATCTTTTTTTGACATAAACATTGATGTTTGGTTAAACCCAATGACCAGATCACAACTGAACTCAGAAGCATACATGTGTGTGCGTTGTTGACTTGTCGTGTGCGTATCTAATGTTTCAATTTATTTCACATTGTTTACCTTACGTCCATTTTCATGTCTGGCATGATGTTATGAGTTCGCATTGGTTTAAAATTTACTCTAAAAACAATAAACAAAGTTTTCTCCAATCTCGTCATGTGTATCGGATATCGGTAGAGGCACATAAAATTGAACTCGGTCATCGGTAGATATAATCTATCCGAATTCAAGAGCAAAAATATATTAAAAAAAAAAAAGAAAGAAATTCATGATAAATTCACAGCAAATCTGAAAAGGGAGTAAATGATTCATCTAGATAATTATCACATATACAGTGGGTACCGTCCGTATAAATCTTATAAAATATACCTTCCGGAATTTTCCAGCCTCCATTTATGTACTACATGTACATTACCAGTGACGTCACTGGAAAGAGAAGTCTGACGTCTGCAAGTTCTAGGGCCTAGCTAAAGCAGTAAAGGTGAGGAATGCATAAAATCAACAATTATTTAATTACTTTATGACTGTGTGTTGCATGTAAACTAAGGGGGTGGGTTTTTTTCAGTGTATTACATAATGGAGACTTGGGTTACCAAAAACAGAAAATATTGACCATGTTGAGGCAGTACGTGAGCTGTCTTGGTCAGCACCCTGACCCAGGTGTATCCATCAACACGGGCACGTTATATCTAAATGAAGGTGAAGTTTAAAAGTACTGTTATAACAATTAAGTATTTATTTAAAATGTTTTTTAACCTAACAAATAAGATGCAATAAAAAAGAAACAACGTACAACTCAGGCGCGGATCCAGGATTTTGAGTTAGGGGGGGCGCCAAAATTAGGCAAGGGGTCACCTGGAATTCTAGAGATTTTGAAGGGTTAAAATGAGGTCTACCAAAGCCCTGGTTGGGGCCCAGGGGGCGAAGCCCCCGGAAGCTCCTGGATTCTAGAGATTTTGAAGGGTGAAAATGAGGTCTACCAAGTAGACATATTTGATTTACGCTAACTTTGACAATTTTAGGGGGGGCGCACGCCGGGTGCGCCCCTGTCGCATAATATTAGTTCCGGGTGTTTCGCGTTCCGGCCGGAACCTTAAAATCATAATATTGGTTCCGGATTTTACTGTAATAAAGGTTCCGGCCATGAGTTCAACCTTTGAATGGTTTGTTCCCGTTTTGCACACATTTAATTACAGGTAATTAAAAAATGTGTGAAAAACAGGAATTTGACCAGATGAGATGATTACTTAATTGCTATAGTCTATACTATACTTAGCTTTGTAAGTATGTGAAAGATGAATTTGTAGTGAAAATATAAGAGAATAAATACAAAGTTAATGTATTTGATTATCTGATGATCTTATTATAACATCTTTTCAAATTAATTTTTATTCATTATTTTCTTCATTATATGTTATATCTTTAATTCATTTAGAATTATATCAAGATTGAAAAGTACATATTTTTTTTTAAGAAATTGGACTTGATAATAAATAATATGAATTTAATATTAATAATTTATTCAATAAAATCAAAGATTTTCCCATAAATATATATAGAATTTTAATAAAATGCTTATAAAATTGTATTAAACCTCTTAAGAATACATTAAGCTAAATCGGTGTTCACAGATAAATCCAGGTAAATCCAAACCAGATATCAGACTATAATTGCTATCAAAACACACTTCACACCTGTTGTTTTATACTAATTACCAAATGTGTGCAAAACGGGAACACACCCTTTGAATCGCGGTATCTGTCCAGATTTCATTCCACATTGAGTCATGGAAGTAGTGGGTATTTTTTCTTGAGGTTTTAGCATGACGCAGCGTCATTCTACATGTATTTTCGTGCGTCGCACAATGTTTTGTTCTTACCAATTTTAAAAAATAGATGAATAAATAGCCTGATGATACTCTTTCTGATACATATGACTTTGGTCGCATTATAAGGCTTTGTTTATCTTATGTATACAAATCGGTTATCTACAACTCGATTCCTTTTGTTTATTTAGTGCATGCCAGGTGTGAATCTCTCGCTTCAATGCACGCAAACCCGTAAAGACAGGTAAAGAGCATGGTTAGGAGATAAACAATTTAAGACCGGGATTACGAAAGACTAACTTTTAAAGAAACACAATGTCAAAGAATTAATTAATTGATAATTTTTTTGTTTTAGAATTCGATAAAAGTAAAGAACAAATATTGATAATTATATTTTACGGAATTAAATTCTCTGTTAAAATGATATTACACGTGTTGACATTTCACGAAGTCGAGGCTCAAACACGGCTTCCATTCCAGATTTTTTTTCATAATTAGATATTATTGACGAAATGGCATGATAATATGGTTTATATTCCATTTGAAATATGTATGATTCACTGTTGGAGAATGTTACGTATATGGTTTATTTTCTTCTAAATTAATCTTCATACTACATGTAGGTACAGTACATGTATTTCATGACGATGTGATTTATTCTTTAATGAAATACTAAGTAAACATGAAAACATAAGAATATGAGTATGGTTTATTCCCTTTAATACCAAAAAAGCCAAGCACGTGTAATTAATGAAAATGATAATTTTTTTAATCGTCGGAAGAAAAAAAATAGTAATTGAGATATGAAAAGTAAAGACAATATATGTTAACTGGCTCGGCTTTTTATTTAATACGATCAAGTTTTAAAAAATCTTTTTTTTTTCTTTTACTTTTCTTTCGTCTTTTTTTTTTTTTTTTGTTTTGCTATTTGTTTGTTTTGAAGGAATTAAAATGCACATTAGTGTTACCTCGAGGAATGTCCTAACCACCAACCGCTTAAGATATGTGGTAAAAAAATCATTTCTGCATGGGTGTTTGAATACATAAAACACAGTGAAGTTGGTAAAAATATGATCGTTTTATACATGCCATTCATAGGCGTCGGAACCGGAGGGGGTGGGGGTAGGGAGGCTTTGAGAATTTTATAGTACTGGTTGCCCGGAACAATTTTTACGTATTTATTTAAAATGTTTATTATGGCCCGGACCTATTATAGGTATTTAGCGTTCCGGCCGGAACGCTAAGTTACCCGGAACGTATATTATGCGACACCCCCCCCCCCCCTTAAATCCGCCACTGCAACTAGTATTTGATGTAAAGTTCCACTCCCTGAATTTATTTCTTTTTACAGTATTTATTGATAAAACATCACATTAGATGGTAAATGACATTAATATCTTTGAGTGCAATAATGGACGTGTAACAGTTTTGTTTTTACATATCTGCCCTTTTTAATCCTTATGAATATAAATTGTGTTTGAGATTGAGAATTTTTATGTGATTTCAGATATGCATTCAAGAATGGTGACTGAAGCTCATCTTTGTAAACACCTAAATGCCTAGAATGGACTCCAAAACAGATTCTTAAAGTTTAACCAGTATAATCTTGAATATGGTAATACTTTTAATTATAAAGGAATCAGATTTTCTGATCATATTGCTTTTAGACTTGCAAATACTACATGTAACTTGAAGCTTTTCATGTAAAATTTGAAATGCAATCAAGTTTGACGAATTTCACACTACTAAGAGTTATCTCCCCTTGTCGGCATAACTCTCATTTTTCCCACTTTGTCCATTGTAAGTTACCTGTTATTATTTTCAATCTTCAAACGTTATTGGACTATTTAGATCTGTACCGGTATTGCTGAAGTTTGGGGCAACATGAAAATCTTAATGAACGATATTCATTACAGATTTTATTTTACTGACCAATAAATTTGGTAAGGTTACAGAGGGAAAAACAGGGCCTTACGCTGGATTGACCTCACAACGGGGAATAACTTTTGTAAATTTAATGTGAAAGTTGTCTATTTTTTTTAACATATATTTTTTTTTAACCTCAAGGACAAAAAGTATACACTTGGAACACACACAAAAACAGATGAGTCCATGCCAAGCTAAAGATTAATGCAGATGGTAAGTTCAATTTTTCATTTTGTAACTCTTCTGGTTTTATCCAGATCGGACCTTACATATAATTAAGTCAGCTTCAGTATATAATAGAAGAATATGGAGATAACGAGCAGTATTCAATCTCAAAGTCCATAAAACTATACAAAAAAGAGCAGAGCAAACACGGACCCCCCAAACATCAGAGGTGGGATCAGGTGCCATAATAAAACACCTATTTACTTACTATTCGGAAAATAGCTTGTTTATCATCTCCCTCAACAGCAAACTATTTCCCTCAGCTGCATCTTGGGGAATAGTTGTTGTCTTGGGGGACGATAAACTAGCTTTTGTCCTTATAGCCAGTAAATAGGTGTACATGAATACTGTTTTTAGCTCCTCTGAGCCAAAGGCTCAAAGAGCTAATGCTATGGCCATTTGTGCGGTGTGCATAAACTTTTTAGAATGTGGGCCATAACTTAAGATCCCCTTGGACAATCATTGTCAAATTTTCACAGAGCATCCTTGGCCCAAGGGCTACCATTTATACTAAAAATAGGGTTTGGACCCTTATACAAGGGGAGATAAACAGGAAGATAAAACCAAAAGAAGTCTATATTGGCCTAGAATTGTTAAACTTTGTGAGTTGAGGCATCTAGGGTTTTTGGAGAATGTCGACCAAAAAGTAGGTCACCATGACCTACTTATGGTATTTTATAGCTCTATTGAAATATCTTCAGTCCTAACTGGCTAAGAATCATTATGGAACTTTCTTGGTTGATGTATTATGGGTCTTATAAACATAGAGGCTTCAAATACTAGTGATAGATTGTACAATTTATTAGAAGAGCAATTCAAGGCCCTTGGGTTTCCAGTTGTCCATCGTCATACACTGTGCTCTGTCTGGTAAAATTTTAGCATTTACAGCATCCTCCCAACACCGCCACCCAAACTAAGGGGGGGGGGTTAACCCCATGGATTAATCTAGGCTTTTGGGGAAACTACCCTTTCTGTAGAAATTGGGAAAATGAGCCGAGGTATGGGAACCACTTGAGCTAGTGCAGGGCAAGCCCTGCTTTGGGGCTAATTGACTTACAGCATTTTTATGACCATTTAAAATGCATGAAGTAGCAAATTAAAACCATATTTCTCATGTAATGAAAATTTTACTTTAAATTTTCAGTTTTTATGAAAGAAAAAGAAATATTTGAGGTTTTTGCTATTGTAAGGGGAATATTTTACTCATCAAAAGGGAAAAAATTATATCTTCAGGGGAAATTTTCTGTAGGGGAAAAACACCCATTATCGGTAGTAAATATGCCCTAGATTAATCCCTGAACCCATCAAATTTATTCAAAATTGTATTTTTTTGATTGGACATCAAGCAAACTATTAGCAAGATTTTAATAAGCATTGAGTCCTACTAAAATTATGAAATTCATATAGCCCCAGGGTAGGTGGATCAGATGTAAAGGCACAGCTTTATTAATTAATCATAAACTGAAAATGCATTGATTCATTGAAAATCTATAGAATGCTCCTAAGTTGAAAGCAAAAAGACTAAGTTCATGACAATGAGGAATAAGTTTTATACCCCTGTAATCAAAGATTCTGGGGTACATCTATATAGCTTTTGCCCTGTCTGTCTGTCTGCAAAATCTTTTCACATTGGCCATATTATTTTAGTGGATGAAAGTATGGCCTTCATATTTCACAGACCTGGGTATTCATTGTGATAATACTTTTGTATTGGTACACCAAATTAACCTTTAGAATTGAACTTGGATTGTGACTAACTTTTAAGAAAGTTTCATAACTTGAATCTTGGCCATAACTTTTGAACAGTTGGTGCAAGGGCTTTCATACTTCACTTGTATATTTACTGTGACAAGACCTTTCAATGGGTATAAATTAAAATATTTGACCTTGAACTTCTAGTTTAACCCACTGTTTAAAAATTTTTAACTTTGATCATAACTTTTGAGCTGGTAGTAGTAGGGCTTTCATATTTCACAGATTTATTCTTTGTGACAAGTCCTTCCTTGGATGTCAACAACTTGACCTTTGACCTTGACTTTGAAGTTTGACTTACACTTAGGAAACTTTAACCATAAGCTGGCATATGGGGTATTAGTATGTACAAACACATCTTTTTTTCTGAGTTCACGCACAAATCAATGCTATGTAATGAATTTTAGATAAGAGAATTACAAGGTAAATATTTGAGGATATAGTGAAAAAAATAGTTTAAAAGATCATGGTTGTGAATACTAAAAAATTAATTATTTAGTATTTATATTTAAGTTATACAGTGAATCAACCAGGATTAATATCAGGATAATAATAATGTTCAGGGGAAAAAATGGGTTTTTCCCTTATTCCATGCATCTAATATTTTCTTTTTCTTTACAGGCAAAAGAGAACTGGAGAAAAATGAATTGATGTTAACATACTCTACATTAAATTTGGTTTAAATCTAAATATGTCTTTTGTTGTGATTGCTTCAAGAGCAATTAAGAATCAGGAAATTTAAATTGAAGGATAACCAGAAAGTGGATCATTCAACAGATGAAAAGAAAATATGCCTTTGAGGGAAATTATGTCAAATGCATGAATTGAATATTTAAATTTCACGTAATTTTTGTTTCACCAACGTTTACAATATGTGAAAAAAATGTTCAAAACATGTGTTTAACCATGGTTTGACACATTTTTGTATGGTATTCATACATTTACTATATGAGCAGTGCAAATAATAAACCCATTAAACATGTTATGAGAAACATATGTTACACACACGTTGCACGTACGTTATTCATATGTGAAACGTATGAATAACATACGTGTGCAATATATGTGTAACGTATGGTGGGCAATACGTACGTTTAACATATGTGACACGCATGATATTCACACGTGTGAAAACGTATGTATAACATACGTGGTATCTTTTTCATGGAAAACGTACGTGAAGTCACGTATGTGTCACATACGTTTAACATACGTGAAACGTACGTGGCACAATTAGCTGTGTAGGACTTGGAGACCGGTCCTTCCCTAACAAAAAAAATACTATAATTAACTTTAGTTAACTATAGTAAACTATAGTAAATCAAAGTATCAAAGTTTTCACCAAAGTGTTCACTATAGTAAGTCAAAGTTTTCAAAGTGATCTTTAAAATGTCAAAGTTATCACTATGGTAAATCAAAGTTTCCAATGTTATCAGCATAATAAATCAAAGTTTTTCCATAGTAAATCAAAGTTTCCATAGTAATCACCATAATAAATCAAAGTTTTCATAGTTATCACTATGGTAAATCAAAATGTAAAAGTTATCACTATAGTAAATCAAAGTATCAAAGTTTTCACTAAAGTGTCAAAGTGTTCACTATGGTAAATCAAAGTTTTCACAGTGACCAAGTGTTCACTATAGTAAACTTTGGTATTTTTTGTTAGGGTTCAGATGAGACCGTATAAAATGAGGTCCCATGTCGCAGTAGGTACTGGCACAAAAAAGATCCATCCATGCTCATTTGCTATAAGTGCCGAGAAGTCGATCGAGTGGCGCAGTGTTTAGAGTGTCTGGGATTTAGAGTCGCGAAATTTTATTTCATCATGTTATTGATTAATACCAAGGTGCAGATTTCAAAGCATTAAATTATTTTCAGAATATGTAACCTCCCCCCCCCCTCCCCACCAATACCTCTGTCCTAGGGGTCCGGTAATTAACCATTTTGGAAGAAGCAGCTTTCTTGGTCATAAATATGTACTTAGATCATTGGCATAATACCCAGGAGCAAAGGAAAAGATTTTCAAAGAATTCATGCATTTTCACTATGTAAGCATTAGAGCCTCGCCCTAACACAAGAAACCTGACCCAGGGGCACTGAAATTCACAAATTCAAAGAGGCATCCTTCCTCCTCATAACTCTGTACATAGTTCATTGGTTTAATACCCAGGTGCAGAAAAGAAGATTTTCAAAGAAATAATTCATTTGTACTATATAATCAATAGAGCCCCAACCTAACACCAGGACCCCAAACCCAGGGGCATGAAATTCACAATTTTCGAAGAGGTAGCCTTATTCAATATAACTATGTACTTGTTTAGTTTATTTGATACTCGGGTGCAGAGAAGATTTTCAAAGAAATAATTCATTTTTACTATATAATCTTTATAGCCCCGCCCTAGCACTAGAACCCCTAACCCTGGGGCCATGAAATTCACAATTTTGGAAGAGGCAGCCTTATTCAGCATACAAATGTAACTATGTACTTGGTTAGTTTATTAAATGCCCATGAACAGAGAAGAAGAATTTCAAAGAATTTATGCATTTTCAGTATATAATCTATATAGCCCCGCCCTGCCACTAGACCCCCTGACCCTGGGGCCATGAAATTCACAATTTTGGAAGAGGCAGCCTTATTCTAAATAACTATTCACTTGGTTAGTTTATTGAATGCCCACGAACAGAGAAGAAGAATTTCAAAGAATTTATGCAATTTCCCTATATACATGTAATCTATATAGCCCCGCCCTAGCACTAGAACCCCTGACCCTAGGGCCATGAATTTTACAATTTTGGTAGAGGACTGAATGCTGATTACAATCAACAGCTTGACTGCGTGGTGTCCAGGAGTGAAGAAGAAGATTTTTAAATATTGCACTTATTTTACTGGTTTTTGGCCCCACCCCCGAGGCCCCCGGGGGGCAGGGACCATGAAATTCACAAATTTTGTTCCTCTTTACACATAGATGCTATATGCCAAAATTGGTTGAAATTGGTTCAGTGGTTTCAGAGAAGAAGCTGAAAATGTTAACGCACGACGACGAACCGGATACTCAGGTGACCTAAAAATCAACAACTGAACAAGGTTGCCAACTCCGTAAAAAGCCTATTGAACGGAAGTAATGAGGAGAGGACTAATTACCCTTGTACCCCATATAACCAAGTATGCGTGTAAGAAATCAACAATAGATATATTCTTGTTTGTTGTACGAATTCTTCATCAATTTTTTGTTCAAACGCTTTCTAGATTTTACACGAAATATTTAAGGAAAAGAAGGTATTTTAATAAATTGCAATTTTAAAAGGGCATAACTCTCAAAACGATACATGCAAATCAGGTATTTGAAAAATAGTTAGAAGCATTTCATTTACACCAGCGTTTTAGAACTCTATGCTTCCTAAACATTTGAAATACATTTTTAAAGTGTATATCAACCAATTTCTTCAAATGCTTATTTCAAAACAATGTTTCAGAATTTCTGCAGAACTGTGTATTTCAGTTAAAAGTCATCTCCTCGTAACTTCCGTTGAACAAGCTATGATCAGATTCAAAACGCTGACACCCTTGTGGAAAACTGACCGTAACGACTGTTGAAGTGCCTTAACCTTTATTAGAGGTGGTGGTTAATAAAAAGAATATTCAATCTACAATATGAGTTGTTCATTTTAGGGCTTTGTATAGATTTATGACAGAGACGATTCAACCAAAATTCCTCGGCAGTGCCTCTCGGTTTGCAGACGAAGTTGGCAAACTTGTTAATTTATATACATGTATATAGAGTGGGGTAGAAATTTTCATAAAATGTTAGTTTAAGCAAATTTTCTGAATTGATAAGATAGATTATATCACAAATGTGTCATCCATATATAATTCTTGTGAAAAAGTCTAAATTAGAGGGGGGGGGGGGCTTCTTGTCCTCAAGCACCTGTGGTAAATTCAACCTGGATGTCAATTTCGCCAAGCGAAAGGTCAGTAATATACATTTATTGACTGAGTTCGAGGGCAACATGCGTTTTGTCGGACCCAAGAACCAAACTGTCTGGCTGAGGCCGTTAGGCCGAAGGCAGACAGTTTGGTTCGAGGGTCGACAAAACGCATTTTGCCCGAGAACATATTTTGTTATACCTTTCATTTCATTTTAAACGTATATGTACATGTATTTTGTACTATCTTCCGTGATGCAACCTCAGGCCAGTCACTACTGAACACCAACGAATGAAAATGAGATTAAGCTCCGCCCATTCTGTGACGAAAGCGGTCCAACATCTCATCGACCGGTCCAACATCTCACTCAGCGCTCAAACATACCGTATAAGTGGAAATTTTAGCGAGACGCAAATTTAGCGATTTCTTCCTAAAATATGGTATTTTATTTTTAGCGAGAAGTAATTCTAGCGATTTCAAAACGCTAACTATAGAAGCTATTACAAATAATACGCAATGAATTTTTAGCGATATTCAATTTTAGCGATGTCAGCACCCTCGCTAATAATGCCAAAATTTAAATCCTCGCTAAAAATTCTACTTATACGGTAGATTTTTTTATGCCCGCTCAGCTAAACATTAGAAATGTTAGACTTTTTTTCGTATAGATTTGTATAGGAACAAATTTTTATAGGTATAACAATATGCATGTAAATCTTGTGCGGCCTTCTTTTCTGACTTCAATGGCCGGAGACTAATGAAATTGACATAGGTGGCATCTTGTAATTTGATTCTATCAGAAAATATTTTTAAATCTATAGTTACAATTTTATTTCACAATGAAATGTAAATATATGGAATCATAAGTTTATATGGTTAATTATTTGTTTACACAAAAATACATCTTTTAATTTATCTAAGAACTACATGTTTATATCTACTTAGTGTAGAAATCCGAGTTTTGTAAACACCTGTCCATGCTCTGTTTTTCTGTCTATGTATCATTATTAAGTAATATCAGTCTGTTTTTCTCTTGTGACTGTCCTTGGTACTTATTATGTTATTACTAATTGTGCTAATTTTCTTGTTTATTTAAACAATAAAATGCTTTCTTTGTTACTTGTTATTACTGGAATTAACGGAACCAGCTGTTGCAGAAAAAATACATAACCCGCGTAAGCGGGTTATGTAATTTTTTTCTGCAATAGCTGCGACCGTTAATTCCAATAATAACAAAGACATTTTATTGTTTATATTTATATCTGTTTAAATAATCATTTAAAGTAGGATTAAAAAGATTAATTATTGTATTAATGATGCAAACGTCTTTATATGTTTCATTGATGGAACAGCCACTGATCAAGAAATCTGTACAGGCGACATGCCTAATATAGTTCATGCAGTGATTAAGGCAATGGGTTTTCTTAAGAAATAAAGGAGAAAATATTCAGTTGATGTAAATATTTAATCATTAAACTTTTTGCTATCAATATTAGTACATGTTTGTGCTGTACTGTGCTTACTTTTAAACGTTCACTTTATGTTTCTTTTACTAACTAATGTATGTTCTTACTTCACTTTTATCTTTGTATATAATTTCTTTTAATATTTAATCGGTTAAAGAGCTATCGTAATTTATGTTTAACTACATATAATTCCAATATGAAATAAATTCATTAATTTCCTTTGTTTTGATTGGACAAGAATAGATTCGAAAAAGAATTTACACATCGATGAATTTTACAGTCGGAACTACTTTCTTGAC